CCGAAGGGTCACCCTAAAATGGGGCAGATTTTAGGGTGACCATCTGGAAGTCGCCGCTGCGTCGTGCTGCGTGGTGCTGGTGCTGCGTCGTGCCGCGATGTGCCGTCGGTCACCCAGTCGATGCTCAGGCGTGTGTTACGTAGTGGTCTGACCACGTAGCGTGCCCTTGTTTTCTCCTGTAGTGGCTTGCATCATTCTGCTAGCTTCTCGCTGATGCACTCCTTTGCCAGGCTTCCGCAGGTGCAGCAGACTTCTCGCTGTTCTTTTCTGCCCCAGCACGCGCGGTGCGAGCGGTGCGCACATCTGCCCTTCAACGTGAACGCGGTGGTCGTCGCCGAACTGGTAGCCGCAGGGATCGCTGCGCATTGCGAGGCGAGCCACCACCTCGCCATTGCGCTGCGTCTTGTGGTGGCTGTTTGTCTCCATGATTCGCACGTCCGTCCCGTGCTCGTCCTGGCCAGCCTCTGGGCGCTGCCGGCGGCAAGCTATTCGAATATTGGCGGTTTGGGCGCTGCTTGTCGCGCCGCTTTCCGCAATGCGTCGCGCCGCCTCCATGTCACGGGCGGTCGTCTTGCCATGGCGCCGAAGGTTGCCCGTGCGATTCGCTGTCGTGCGAGTTGTCTCACTGCTCGCGCGCGTTCGAAGAAACCTTGTTGTGCTGCTGGTAGAGCGTGTTCGTCAGCTGCTGCGTCTGTTCGTGCGTCAGCTTCTCGGTGGCCCTTCCACGCTTACATTGGTGCTCGTCGTGCTGCTGCTGCTCCTCAGTCTTCGTGGCTGCGGAGGTGGTGCACGACGATGTCTTGGCGCGAGCCTCCTCTAGCTTGGATTGCGAGCTTGATGTCTCTCCAGATATCGCCGTTGTGGCGGTGGTACCTGTTGCTTTTCAAGCGGTGTGCTCGCCATCCTTTGCACAGTACTTCCCAGTAGGTCCAGTACTCAATGCGTCCTTTGGAACTCTGGGGGATGTATTGTAGCGCCCACAGCTCTGCTCTGTTGTTCGTCTGTCGCGCTCCCCTGGCAGTGGTCCTCGCGCTGCAGCTTGGACTGCTTCGTCGTCGGACATGAGTGCCCGACCCCAGCCGCAGCAGCGGTAGCGTCTGTCGCTGGATCCTGTCCCGCCGTTTCCATCGCCGCAGAACCGGAGCGGTTGGTCGCCGTCGCTCGGGGGGGTGCCGTGCGAGACGCCCCCTTCCTAGGTGTCTGTCGGCCCCGCGGTGCAAGGTGGCGGGCGCGCCGTCGGCCTGGGCGTTATGCCTCGCAGGCAGAATTCTGCGTTGGTGTCAAATCGTCACGTGGATCTGTCTCGCAGGTGGTCCGCGCGCTGGTAGATGATGCGGTCGGGTCGGCGTGGGCGCGCTCCCCGCATCCTGCGGTGGTCGTCGTCGACCGCCCGCGTTCGCAGAGGTCGGTGGCGCCGCGGGCGTCCGCGATGCGTTGTTGTGGCCATGTCCCTGCGCATGCTGCCGCGAGCAGAGCCCCATGTCTGTCGCGTTTCCCCTTCTGTTGGAGGTGGCGCAAGTGGCGCTTGAAATCGTCGAGGTCTGCTCCGTGCTCAAGTCCGCTGCCGTCGCGGTGCCTTTCCGCGCGCGTCCGTTCCCCCCCCAAATGGCTGGCGACGGCGTTGCCGACGTCGGCCGGGTCTCCGCCAGCTGCGTCGTCGGTGAGGAGCCACGCGTCGCCGCTGGGGTTTTCCGAGCGCTCGGCTGCGCGAGGGGTCCAGCCCAGCTCCCATAGCACTAGGATGACAGAGCCGATGGCGCCGCGCTTTTGTTGCCAACATAATCGTTGATTGTGTCGTGATAGTTGTTGCTTGATGGTGTCCCACACTCTCTCGATGCGCTGTCTGGCCATGTCGCAAGAGGCCCAGAGGTCGAACCAAGCTTCGAACCGAGCGCGGACCGCGATGATCTCTGCGTCCTGCCCCTCGAGGTGGGTCAGGGTGGCGAGGCAGCGCCCAGGCCATGCACGTCGGGGTGCCTGTCCGCATCTGCGTCTCGTGCGGAGCCGCTCGTTGGGAGAGGCCCCATATACCCGGGCCCCGTAGCGCAGCGATGTCATCGCCCCTTGTTGTAGCAACCCCTTCGTGCGTTTAGCCCCTGCTCGCCTGAGCTGGTTGCCCGCCGTGCTGCCGCGGTGCCATGCGTTGATGCGTCTGGCGTGGCGCGCGCGGCGTCTGGTGCATGTTCTTCCTGCGCGATCGACTCCTAAGTCACGGCGCCCCGTGGGCCCCTCGATGCCGATGCCCTCGGTGCTGAGGTCGTGGGCGACGCGCTTGGCATTGCTGAAATCGCTGCCGATGATGCGCAACTTCGAGGCCTTGCAGCTGGAGTTCTTCGTGCATGACCTTTGCGGCGTGGCCTCTACGATGGGGGCGCGCACGGCTTGCTTGGCGCCGAAGACTTGGACGCCGATGCCGTCGAATTAAGTTCTGGGTGTTGTGTCCTGGCAACGCGGCTGCTGAACAGGCGCATGACGAAGTAGATGGGCGCTCGTGCGAGGTTGTAGGAGTGTCGGGCCCCAGCCAAGAGCGAGCGGTCGGCGTGCACTGGCATGCTGTAGCAGTTGTGTGAGGTCGAGTTGTAGTGACAATGCTAAAACGCGCTTGGGGAATCCGAAGGAGGCGGCAGCCCGGGCTATATTTGGGAAGCTGAGCGAGTCGTAGAAGCGCTTGGTGCCGAGCAAGGCTACCGCTGAGTGTATCGACATGGCCCTTCTTTTGCGTCGCTCAGGAGGCGTTCCTCTCGGCCACCTGCGCCACAACGCGCTTGGCAACCAAATCCGCTCACGGTCACTACCCCGCAATTTTGACTGCCAACAAGACCACGGCGACCTTCGGAACAGTACATAAAAAACAAAGCGTCGTAGAAGGACACGCGGCGCGTTGCGACAAGGAGTACATGATGCGGCTGCGGTGCATTCGCGGTCACGTGCCCCTTGAGGTTCCAGCTGAGCCCGCCCAACTTCCTGGGCAACCCGCCCTTGATCTGCTTGAGCCCGTTCAGGTCGTAGGTCAACCCGCTCGGGTACAGGCTGGACCTGTTCGGGCACCAACACCGGATCAACGTTCTCGCGAATCAATCCGTGCATGTCCTTGCTGAACACGATCACGGTTACGACCAAGCTCGGGTTTGGAAACAACCCGCTCCAATTCAAGACAGACTGGATGGCGAAGCCTTCGCGAGGACCGACGCCGCGCAGATCGGGACCTCCGCGCAAACCAGGGAGAAGAGCTCACAACAACGAGCCGACACAGCCGACCTCGTGTACGACGTGGTGGGGGGAGCGGCCTCGAGAAGACTGCGCGGCCTCTCTCGAGCGGTCGGGAGGTGCGCTGGTGGAGCGGGCCATGGAAACTATTAATGGTGGGCCCTGTATTGTTTTTACGTATTGTCTTTACGCATTGTCTTTACGTATTGTTTTGTTCACGTTTACGTATTGTTTCGCGCATTGTTTTTACGTATTGTTTTTTCTCACGGTTAACATTTACTTTCTCACGGTTAAGAATTACCATTTGTGGCGTCCATCAATGTTTTCGGCTTAGGCGAAGATCGCAGTCGTGCCCATGATAGCACCGACTGGCCAACTCTACGCGGATAGCGGCTCTGCGATTGAAGGCGGCCCCAACAGCGATTCACGAGAGGCCCGCGATTGAAGGCAAGCGTGTTTTGTAAACGTCACGCCAGGGCAATTGTAGGACATGCGCCTTGGCAAATGGCTTTCGCTTCCCAATCCTAGTACATGGTTCCGCTCCTGGCACTGGGCTGGAGGCCTGGAAATGGGCACCAACATCAGCACAGGGGGTTGCCTCCACCTGGGGAAGATGATCCTAGATTTCGGTGTTGGTGGTCATATTTCGATCACCTCGGACGCCAGAATACTACCACCACCACCACCGAGATCGGGATCTTCTTCCCTCGGTGGATGCACACCGCCGATATGGTGTTGGTGTCAATATCTAGACCTGCGACTAAGGAAGCAGAGGATTTGCACGAGTGCTCGCTCGCCCGCCACAGTGCACGCTGCATGCGGGACTAGAAGAGCCCACGGCTTGAGCGCCCGCACGCCTTGATCTGCGAACGAGGGGCGGCCTGTCCCGACAGGTACATAGACACGACATGTTGGCAAGTTGCGTGTGTGTGTGTGTGTCTGTCTGTGTGTCTGTGTATGTGTGTATGTGTGTATGTGTGTATGTGTGTGTATGTGTGTATGTGTGTATGTGTGTATGTGTGTGTGCGTGTGTGTGTGTGTGTGAATGTGTGTGTGTGTGTGCGGTCACGTGGTCAAGGGCATTACGATGTGATTGCGAAAGCTGCAGCTGAGAGCCACGACGTGCCGGTCGAAACCGCACCCTCTTCCCCCCTCCTTTGCCTCTTCCGGCCTCCTCCTTCAGTCGGACTCGATTGAACGGGACGCGCGAGAGGACACGAGACCCTCCCGAGGGCCACACTGCAGTGTGAATGTGGGAGTCATGGGTCGCGAGACTCAGGAGGACACAAGGGTACCCTTGAGTTGGCAGGGCCGACCTGCTGATCAGGGCCGACTGTGCTCCAACTCCTCCCCCGCCCCGTTCCTTTTGAAGGGGCCCTGGGACACACAAATAAATACACACAAAAATAAACAGATCCCCCATATTTTCTCATATTTTCTGGGTTTTTGTCTTCCCCCCAATTCCCATGTTATTTTCCCATATTTTCTTGGGATCGACGGTTCATTGTGTCTGTGTGTGTTTTTCCCCTCCGTCCCCTTCCTCCACCTCCTCCGCGACCCTCTCCCCCTCTCCCTGCTCGTGCGCAGCACGCCTCGGTGGTCCAGCCCTCTGCCAGACGGTGCAGTTCCCGTGCATTTTTCGGTTTCGTGCGTGTTTTTTGTTTGCTCGTTGGTCGAAGATGGTCCTCGATGGTTCTCGCCGAGAAAAAAATAGATGCACAAAACCAAGCGATGCCAGGTTTCCTCCACATCTTCCGCGATCGTCTCCCCCTCCCTGCCCGTGCGCGGCACGCCTCGGTGGTCCAGCCCTCGGCCAGGCGGTAGCAGTAGTTCGTGTTCGCCGCCCAGGCCTCGAAGAGCTCCTCGGGGCTGCTGCCGCCGTCGGCCTCCGCCGGCGAGGGGCGGCGGGGCGCAGGCCGAGGGCGAGGGGGGGCCTGGCCACCAAACTTCGCGCCTCGCGCACACCTTTGAAGGGGCCCCAGGACACGCAAATAGATACACACACAAATAAACATATCCCCCTATGTTTTCCAATATGTTCAGGGTTTTTGTCTTCCCCCCCACTTCCCATATTTTCCCATATTTTCCTGGGAGTGGACGATGAACTGTGTCTGTGTGTTTTTTCTCCTCCTGAACCTTCGCGCGTACAGTCGGGGCGTTGACATGAGGAACCCAAAATGAGGAACGAGGCCCCCTTTTTCCACAAGTTGAACTTCGATTTCGCATCGAAGACCTGGGGAAAATCCAAGGCAAGCTGCGAAACAATGAACACGGAGCCCCTCCCCAACGAAAAGGGTTCCTTCTTCAGGGCCCCGACTGTATCTTCGCGGCCTCGCGCCGGCCCCCATCGGAGGAGGGCAGCCGCTCTGGCCCAGAAGGCGACGCGCAAAGCGCGATCGTCTTCTCGCCCCAGCGGGTGACCCAAGGATGAGCATGGACGGACGGGAGGTTGGGACCCCCGAAGCGGTTTCGTAAAACACGGGCACGATGTCCACCACCAAATGCTGCCCGAAACCAACAGCGGCCGCTGTTGGGCAGGCGGCCTTCGGTCTCAATGGGACAACATCCGCGGCGGCGCGGACAGCGAGCCCTGCCCTGTTGGGCATCGTACCCATTCTTACCGTTATTGCCCGTGTCGCTCGTGCCGAGGAATGGCCTGCGGACCACATATCGCCAGCCGCCAGGCCCCCGACCAACGAGCTCAAACCTTCCGCTCCCGCGGGGGCTCACGCGCCAGGAGGTCACAAGTATCGAGCAGGTGGCTGCACAAAGGGGGGCCGCAGGGGCAGGGGGGGAGCAGGGGCAGGGAGAGGAGAGCACGGCCGGCTAGATGTTGCCCTTCCTCGAGGATCGCCCGCCCCGCTCGCACGATCGAGTGGATGGCACCGACGCCGACTCCCACCCGTGGGCGAGGAAAGACACCGATTGGGGGGTGAGCAGCCGAATCGATCGACGTCTCGCGCGGACGTCAGCACGCACTATGGAATCGATGGAACCATTATAACGGTCAGGTCAACACGCCGGCAGGGGAGAAAGCAAGAGAGGGGGCGGGGGCCAGAGGAAGCGCTTCCACCGCCAGATGTGGCCTCTGCCCCTCCCCCCCCTCCCCTCCTCCCCTTCATCTCCTCCGTCCTCCCTCCCTCTGTGGCGGATCTGGCGGATCAGACAGGTCAAACGCGCAGAGCACATTTGACCCCTTAAGTCGGGCCTGTCCCCCTATAGGGGGATTTTCGACGAAAAATAAAAAATACCCCAAAAATAATCAAGAAAGAATCCAAAAATAGCCTGGGGACGAGTTTTTGAATTTGTTTTGACCATTTGGGGGCATGTTGGGGGTATCTTTTTTATTTGTCGTCGAACATCCCCCTTGTAGAGTAGAGGCCCGACCACAAGAAACCTTCCACAAGAAACCCAACCCTGAGACCCCAGGACGTCCATTGATTTTTGGTGTTGGAACGTCACGTTGTCCATAGCAAAAACCATCGAAGCCCAAGAAACCCAAGGCACCCTGGAGGCAATCAGGGTGTTTCTTGGCATCGGCCCCCACTGTAGGGGGACAGGCCCGACATAATCATAACCCTCGGGCACACGCGCAGGGCCTGGGCCCCACCCTGCCCTGCCGACCGCCCGCCACCCGGGCGCCGCGGAGAGCCCGGCACGGCAGCGCGCACTCCGCGCCGCCCTCCCCCTCTCTCACCCTTCCCTGCTCCCTCCTTCTCTCGGGCCGGGCGAAAGGAGGGGGTAGCAAAGGCTCGCCATCGCTCGGACGTCCATTCCCTGTGTTTTTTGTCGGTTTCGTGCGTGGTTTTTTCGCCGAATGATCAAGGGTGCTCCTCGATGGTCCTCGCCGAGAAAAAAATCCACACGTCCGAGCGATGCCAGGAAGGGGGGGTTTGAGAATCAGCTCACGTAGCTGATTTTCCCGGCGCCTCCCGGCGCCGGATGCGGCTACGCATCGAGGAGTGGGCCCCTCGGTGGGGCCGAAACCAGCTGCACGCAGCAGATTTCGTAACCCCCCCATTTCCCTATCCCCCCCTTTCGTCTGGCCCGATTCTCGTCCCGCGCGCGCGCGCGCGCCCCTGAACGGCCCCCGCCGAGGAGGGGCAGGAAGGGCCAGCCTCCCTCCCACGTAGACTCGCACGCGCTCGGAGACTTCGGCTCCTTCCGCCAGAGAGCGCGCAGGTCGCCCAGCGATGCGCGAGGCACGGTTGTCTTCACGCCCTCGCGCCGCCGCCCTGGAGACGGGCAGAAGGGCAGCTCGCCGGCCCAGGCCGCGATGCGCAAAGCGCGGCTATCTTAACGTCTCTGGGGGCGACCTGAGGTTGACGCACGTCTTTGCCAACTTTTTCATGCGGCGAGTGCTGAGTGTAAGAAAGCCCAGCAGCGTCTACAGCTGCGTCTAGTGGATGCCCGAATGCAGTAGTTACCTACGAAAGAGGCCTTTGCAGGGCAAAGAAAACTGGCGTATGTGCTTGAAGTGGTACACCAAACGAAAGAAGGCCCGAAGAGACCTGCAAACTTCTTGGGAGCAGTGCCTGGGCCATTAAACAGGTGTGCCCGCCTCACTTCGCAGCCGAGCCGACATCACGCCAGCATGCGTGCTCAGGCACGTACGACGGAAGAAGGGGAACAGAAGCCTGGCACAAGAAAGCAGCGTCGGCCCCCTCGCCGCGTGGTCCAAAGCGGGGCTCGACTGCTGATCTTCGCCAGATGTGATGGACCATTCAATGGAGTGCGAGGGCCTTGCGGACAGCGCCGCCGACCCTGAAGGCGGAACCTCCCCCGGGACTGCCGCTGGCGACCCCCCCTGGGACCCTCCTGGGATCCGCCCGGACCGTTGGGAGTCCTCCTCCTCCTCCTCCTCCTCCTCCTCCTCCTCCTCCTCCTCCTCCTCCTCCTCCTCCTCCTCCTCCCCCTCCTCCTCCTCCTCCTCCGCGGAGGTTCTGACCCGGTACCCCCCGCCCACCCCGTGCACCCCGCGGTACCCCCCGCCCCCGTCGGGGAAGGGAGAAAGGGAAGGACATCGGCATGACTAATTACGACGTTTCTTTCCCCTGCTTCTCAATCTCCCTGGAGCTGGCGCCGACGACGATGACGACGACCCCTCAAAAACGATCGCAGCCGAGCAGACACGCCAGCAGGCGTGCTCAGGCACGCACGGCGGCAGAAGTGGAGAGGAAGCCTGGCAGAAGAAAGCAGCGTCGGCCCTCCCGCCGCGAGGTCCGGAGCGGGGCTCGGCCACTGCTCTTCGCTGGGTGTGGTTGATCATTATAATATATGGATTCCAGCTTGCTTGACTAGTCACGCATGTGCGAAAAAGCCTCCTCCTCCTCCTCCTCCTCCTCCTCCTCCTCCTCCTCCTCCTCCCTCTCCTCCTCCTCCTCCTCCTCCTCCTCCTCCTCCTCCTCGAGCAAAGCCGAACGTCTGCCTGCACAAACCAGCACCGCGATCCAAGGATGGGCTCGCACTCGCCACGCCGCCCCACTCCCTGCAATCCCTTGCCAATGTAAGACCGCTCGGCCCCTCACTCTGACAAGCGGCCGAAGAGGCACTCTTGGGCACGATGGCAGATGAAAACGCTTTCGCCAACTCATCAAGCTGCGTCAAGGCATGCCTCTGCACACAAATCCACAGTCGCGCGCAAATCTGGGAACTCGATGAAAAAATCTCCGCAATCGCAACTGGACCGGCTCCACTCAAGTCCCGAAGACGTTGTGGCAAGCAAATCGTCCACGTGGATCCCTGCTGGTGGAGCTCCTGGTGGGAATGCCAGCAAGCGTTGCCCTGGCTTCGGCGGAGGGCAAGGCAAAGGGCACACGTGGGAAAGCCCAGCAATGCTGTGCAAGAACCGCTGGACGTCTTCGAAGCTGGCATTCTTGGCCAGAGGAATGTACCTACGCCACGGAAATATATACACAGACACCCTCCGACGAACTTTGCGCGTACCTTCAGAGATGGCGGCGACGTATAAAGTCGCTGTCTCTCAGCGGTGATTAATACACCGCTCCCCTCCCCTAGCGCCCCAGAAAAATCCATTGGAGGGTGTCTGTGTATGTTCTCCATTGTCCGAGTACCCATCTGGGGCCTTCGCGATGCCTGCCCGCATGGCCCACAGCACCTTCCCGTGGCACGCGTCGCCCTCCTCGGAGGTGTGGCAGGCCTCCACGGGCTGCTGGAGCTCTGCCACGCGCGCGGCCTTCCACCGCATCCACCGGCCCCACTCCTCCTCCGCGAGATCCCGCTCCATCTCGGCTATCCAGCCATCGTCTCCGTGCTGCTGCGACTCCGCGGACGAGAACTCTGCCAGCTGCAGGCCTGCAAGTGCGCAGCTGGCGAGTCCAAGGCCCACCAGGACAAGAAGCGCCATTGCAATGTGAAGACAAAAATTGTGCGTCAATGCGCCGCACTGTTCAATATAATGTGTTCCGAGTGTGGGGTATCACGTCTACGTTGCACGTGGACGCGCGCTTGAGACGTGTGGTCTTGAGCCACAATGGATAGCCACGGAGGTATGTATCTCCCCGTTGTTGGGCCGTTTGGGGTCTCCGGGGGCCTCCGAGACCTCGAGATGACCTGTGGGCACCTCCTTCCTCCACGTTGACACCATCTGGACACATTCGGACACTTTGAAAACCAGGTAGCGGATCTCGCCACGAAGACGCCTTGCAATCGAATACGTTTCAATGGCGCAGGATGCGTCTAGAATAGCGCCGATCCTGACACTGCTCCTATTTCATGCCCCGACAGGTGCCATGGAATATGAATTCAACCCTTGGCAGAACAAATGCTCCATATGCGTCCAGGGCGCAGAACTCCTATCAGCCCTCTGGGCTAAGGTTGTTTAGCACGTCAACTTTTCCAATCGCCCTCTTTCCCTTCGGGGAGTGGCTTACCTTTACCTACCCCATGTCTCAAGACTTCCCCCTAATGAGCGGAGTCACGCGAATAGTGTTTGAATGCTCTACAGGATGACTGTGCTGTCGGTTCGAAACCTGCTATGAGCCTCCTGTGGTCTCCTGGGATGCCTCTTGGCGGCCTTTGCAGTGGGGGCTTCTTGGGGGCTTCCCGAGGCCTCCTGGGAGCCGGTGGGGCCACCTTGCTGCTAACCACGGTTTCCTATATATCCACTGGGCGATTTGGGGGGCTCTGCGGGCCTCTTGGGGCTGCGTGGACCTTCTTGAGGCTCTCTTGGGCCGCCTTGGGGCGATCTTGGAGGTCTACCGGGCCGTCGTGGGCCTTGTGAAGCCCTGGAAGGCGAGCATCTGAAAATAGTCAGGGGCCCGAGGTGTTGACGATGTGTGCCTCTTCGGGGCCTCCTCGGGGTCCTCTCTTGGGACCCCTCCTTGCGCCGTCCTCTAATTAGGCCACCAAGCTTCGCGCATCGCGCCACAGGATGCGCGACGCTTATCTTCGCGCCCTCGCGCCGCCGCCCTGGAGACGGGCAGAAGGGCAGCTCTCCAGCCGAGGCCGCGATGCGCGAAGCGCAGCAATCTTCGCGCCCCTGGGGGTGACCTGGCTCTTCGGGGCCTCCTGGCTTGCCATCGCTCGGACGTCCGTTCCTCGTGCATGCTTCGGTTTCGTGTGCTCAGGATGATCCTCGATGGTCCCCGCCGAGGAAACGAGCGATGCCAAGCTCGGGGCCCTCTCCTGGGATCGGGGATGTACTGACCCGGGTCAATCCATACCCGGGGCAGTCAGGCTTCGCAGGATCCTGCAAGATCCTGCAGGGTCCTGCACTGTAGGACTCCTACAGGCTCCTGCACCCAAGCCCGGGTCGGTGCGACCCTGGCTCTGCAGGATCCTGCAAGATCTAGCGCTCTGACTGACCCCTGTTTGCATGCAACCCCTTCTTTGGGCGCCCGAGTTACCCCTGATGATTCAGGGCTCTGGACGCCCGAATTATCCGGGGTAAGTCGGGTTCGGATTCCCGAAAAACGAACCCGAGTTAGCCCTGACCCGAGTTACCCCTGATGATTCGGGGGCTCTGACGTCTCGAGGCCGAGCGTGGCCGAGCTCGGCGGGGCTCTCTCCTGGGACCCCGGACAGGCGGCCTCCCGGAGCCGAGCGCCGCACCCAGGACGCCCGGCTTGCCCGACGCGTCGGGCGGGGGCCTGCCCCCCCCGCCCCCCCTGGAGGCCGGGAGTGGGCTACGTCGCCCGGGGGACGTCCCTTGGCCGCCCGGCTTCGCGCCCCCGCGCCCCGCGGGGCGCGATGCGCGAGGCCATGCGACGCGCATCGGCCAGCGAGGCCGCGCATCGCAGGTCTGCGCTGGATCGGATCGCGAGATCGGATCGGCTCGAGAGCGGACCGAACCGCCGGCGAATCGTCCCGAATCGGATCGGCATCGACTCGCCGCGCCCCGCTTCTGGCCGGCCCTGGCCGATGCCGGTGAAGAGAGCCAGATCGCGTCAAATTGGAATCGCGGCCTCAGCTGGCAATTCGAATCGCATCGAATCGGATCGTAGGCGGCCCTGCATCGCGCCCTGGGAGGCGCGAGACGCGGTTCTCTCTTTGCGCCCTCTCGCCCCCTCCTGAAGCAGGGCAGCCGCTCTGGCCCAGACCGCCACGCACGAAGCCCGACTACCTTCGAGGGAGGGGAGGGGAGGGGTGGGGAGGGAAGCACAAGGAGGGAGGAAGCAGGGAAGAGGAAAAGGAGGGGGGAGAGAGGTGGAGAGGGGGATGGGGACGAGGAGGAGGAGGAGGAGGAGGAGGAGAAGGCGGGGGGAGAGAGGTGGGAGGGGATGGAG